AATGTGGTCGATGGAGACGGGGCGCGGGGCCCCGCACGCGCTGCCGCTCGACTCGGCCCCGTCGACCCGACTGCTGTGCGAACCACATAGTAAAGTGTGCAAGCTCAGCAATACAGGCAATCGTTTATAATTTTTCCGATCACTCCACTAAGATCACGTCGCTCCTCCTGACTCAAATGGAAACAGCTGCAGAGCTTGATAGCGGAGTTATGTGCGGAGACATGTCTCCGCACCATGAACTGTGATAGACAGTCTTTTCCTTCCCTCTCATTTTGTGCCTTTCTCTCCCTCTCCCTTCTCGACTCCTCTCGCTCTCTCCACATCGTGTGTCCCTGGGAAGAGCGAACAAACTTGTGTCTGTTCCAAGTGACACGGCACCACCTCTATTTCCGACACCAACTTATAAATTACCAGCAAACCGCTGACTGGTCTCCTCTCTCCTCTGCCCCTCTCCCCCCCCTCTCCCCTCCCCCTCCTCCTTCCAGGTGAGTGAAGGGGGAGGGGAAGAGCGGCGGTGCTCGCCTTTCGACACGGTTCCTCGCGGATTGCCTTAGCGCACCTCCTACGCCCCCCTCCTCCTCACTAGCAGAGCTTCATACTCGGAGCCGCAATGACCAGCGGTCATCTTCTTACAAGACAATAGCAAAATCAAAGTGGCCCGTAAGTTTTTCTTCCGCCGCGACCGCTGATTGGCATTTTTGCCCCATGATTACGTTTTGCCGGCTTTTTTTTTTCGGTCGGAGCGGCTGCAGCGGCGCGTTGGGGCCGTGTCGAGGTGTTATTTCGCAAAAAGAATACTTCTGTTGTTGTTCGTGTTCCGTTTCGATGAGCTGGCCTCTGTCGTTGCGCATCGAAATAGATCGAGAGCTCTCGACACATCAAGAGGGACAGCCAGCCAGCTGCCAACCTATCCTGCTCGACTCACCGAAACGAAACGTTGACGTGTAGCTTGTTGACTGGGCTGCGTAATGCGAGCGACTCGATATGTCAAGAGTAAGTCATGCTTTTTTACTCGTATGAACCCTTCTTGCTCAAATAAAAAAATGGGCAATCAATAGATAATCAAAGTTGACTTTTGTGACAAATTAACAAGGAACCGAGGGGGCAATAACTCCGGGAATCATGTGTACATCTGCCTGGGAATCATCTCGATAAAAAATATTCGAAATCAACAGAAATCGTTTAAACTAAGTGGGAAACTAATGGAACTGATACAAATTAGTCGAATTACGCGTTTTCTACCACTAGAAAACCCTAAGGAATGAATATAAGTGGACGGGAATCACTGGGAATCAAATATTTCGGGAATCATGTGTACACATCAAAAGGGAGTTATTGCCCCCTCGCAAGGAACGCTTTGGTAGTAAAACTTCATCACAAAAATGCATCGATTTCCTCGCGCGACAGGCCGCTCGATGCCACCCTCCCTATGGCCTGGACGCGTAGGGCCACGGTGGCCACCCATCGCCCTGTGCCGAGCGACGGCCCCTGTGAACACCTTCAAGCAACAACAACAAGAGTGCGGGCCAAGGCGGGCGTGGTCACGACCTGCCGCCCGCCCGCCCGGGCCAACCAGCCCACTGACATTTCATGTGAGAGCTGGAGGCACGGCAACCGACCTGCCCACCTCCCCTCGGGGGTGCGGCCACCGGCCACCTGCCCACACCTCCCTCCTACTTCACCCCTCGCTCTCATGCATGCCTCAAGTTTTTTTTTGTGCGGACAACAACCCTTTTGCCTTTAAAGGGTATGCATACAGGAAAGGAAGAAGGGCATCTTATTCAATGGCGCTGTCCGGCCTCACGCAACTTGGCGCGGTGCGCGACCTGGAAGGGGTCAGAGGTGCTAAACACGGAGCGGTGGCTCGTAAGGGCATATGTGCAGCAACGCGACGGACAGCGACTCACGGCAGGTGTGCCAACGAAGCAGTGTGCAGGCACCACAGAAAAGCCAAGTGTGAGAATGTCACTCACTTTAGTTGTAGGTGTGTGAACGCCATCCGTATACAAGTGTGTAAATTTCAGAGGAAAATTCACACCTCTCTTTGCTTGAGTGTGCGATGGGCATCCACACACCAACAAGTGTGTGACATTCACACTAAGGTGACGTGTGGGCAGCTGGAGTATCTCGCGAAGCCAGCGGGATGGTCCCGGAACTGCATGTGAGTTGGAGAGGGAGCGGGAGAGGATCACTGCGGCTGCCCGCAGATCGAGCGGTAAGTGCAAACAATCACAGTGTTGCCATAATTGCGGTCCGATCGCCTGCGGCGGGAGCAGCAATGGGCTGACAACCTCATTGCACAAGCGCGGGCGATCTGCCTCCTGCAAAGAAAAAGCGCCACGTTTTCTTACCTCTCAAAGAAGCCGCGAGATCGCGCGAGCGAACAAGCAGGCCCCGTCCTTCCGCCAAACGGATGACTAGCCAGCTCCATTTAGTTGTACCGGCAACTCCGTTCGGCAAGGGTTGGGCTTTGCTGGCTGGTGGCGTTTGGCCTGGCCTGAAGCCCAGCCAACCCCAAGTCAATGTTACACTTCTGTACCAACCTTAGTTTTCAGCCCACCTGCCGCCCGCTAAGATTTCATCCTTTGGACTTGAAGAAAATGTAACGATGTGGCACTGTCCTTCCACTCTTTTGTTTAAAAATTGGAATACAGTAGCTGCCGTAAGGATTTTGTGTTCAGCCCACGAAATTTCTAACAGGGTTGCACTGCTGTGTGAACTGGCGACACATGTACGTATGCAGTGGGTGGGCAACCTATACCCACACTTTTAAATTCCTGCAAAGTAATGCTTTGCAGAACTACGAAGGATTAAGATCCTGCGTAACCACGAAGAATTTACTTAGCAATTACAAAGCGATGCTTTCGCTTTCGCAATTGCAAAGCGGTGCTTTGCGGCATGTAGAGCATTGCTATAATCGAGTACCAATTGCGAAGCATCGCTTTGTAATTGCAAAGTAAATGCTTCATAGTTAAAAAGGACAAAGGGCAGAAATCCTTTGCAATAATTCTGCTAAGCGTTGCTTTGTCGGAATTTAACAGTGCACACCCCAACCGATTGGTAACTAAGTAATGCTTCGAAGAAATTTGAAACCCCGTGCCACGCCCGGCAGCAGTTGCACCCCAAGGCTCCTCGGCCGGGTCGGCCGGGCGAGCACCTCTCCCAGTGGCACGTGGCGGTCCATCACTGTCGACCCCCCAATGCGGGCCGCTGGCTGCTGGCCATCCCCGACCTCTCTTCCGGCACCGATACGCATGGACCTCGGCCGAGAGACGCGTATCGCCAACCAGAGAATCCTTGGCCTTACACTAGACGTCTTCTAAAAAGTGAATGCAGAGTGACGTCGTGGGTGGCTGAAACGGCGTCCACTGTGTGAAAAAAGTACAAGAAGTTGACCAGTACCAGTAGGAGGCCAACCTGTTTCACGGTCTTCCTTGTACTTGCTAAGAACGGTGTTTGAGTACTCAGTATAAGGCAATGTTAACATGGAGCCTTCTGTTAATGCTGTACTTTTTTCTACATTGCCACAGTATTTTGCACAGTGTCCACCCACTGAGCTGGACGTCCCCGACGATAGACACGTGGCGCGGCACAACGTGTTCGAGACTCTCCCCTCATCTCATCCGCCCCCGCCCGAAGGCCACACGGGCGCGCTATTATTTCTCTGGTATCGACGCGGACGTTGCGGGGCTGGCCTGTAGCGGCTCCAGCCTCGCCCGGGCCACAAGTGCACTCCTTTCCCTTGACTCCGTTTTCTACGCGGCGCCGCCGTTCGGTATGCAATGCAATAAGAGTTGTGTTGTTTGAGTGATCAAACCGGAGGAAGGCCTTGGCGTGCCGTGGCGTGCCGTCGGGGCGTGGCGGGGCGTGGCGGGGCGTGGCGAGGCGTGGCGGGCGCGAGGCTTGTAACACCCACGCCGCTTCCCCCGAATGTAACGTCATCCGTGTGCGTGCGCCATCCCCCCGGCGTCTTTCTCCCTCCCACATCTAAGAGCGAGGTGGGTGGGAGCAGGACAACCACAGCTTCCATCCAAAACCGCATGGTTACCTCACCGTTTAAGGACGGAGTTTACTCGGTTTGTGACGGTGTGCGGGCGGAGCAGGGCGGCTCTAGGATGGGACACGTGCGCGACGCTGCGGTGGACGAGGCGTCACTGGCGGTGCCTTCATCTTCTGGTTGCGGAATAACGTCGCACGTCACCGCAGCTGCCTCTTGAACGCGCGGAGCCCATCGGGTCAGCCCCGGGGACTGCCGCTAGGACAAGCCGCGAGGACAGCCGTCGTGGGGACAGCCGTGAGGACAGCAGTAAGGACAGCTACAGGGACAACCGCGGGGACATGCCGTGAAGACAGCTGTGAGGACACCCGGGACGATCGAAAGGACAGCCGCGGGGACAACCGTGAAAACAGTGGTCGAGACACCCCCCC